GAAGTGCTCCTTCACCACCGCTGCTTCCACCAACGATTCTCCGAAGATCGTATGGATTTCTCGATCTCCCATAGACTGTGTTAGTAGATTCGATCCATGCGCATAACTCTGGCACATTAGTGATTGCAATCAGAATACCACCTGCATCCAGAAGCCTAAAAAATGCCCAAAAATCAAAATATGGCACAAAAATTCGTGTCATTTTTTCGGATCTCACGCCAGAATTTTATTTAGTGGTACCTGGATATGATTGCGTATGCATACTTATAGCGTATTACCTTAAGTATCTTACTGCCGAACAATGCCCTATTTAGTTCGGGATATTATGATCCGGTAAAAAACATTGTTCAGAAGTTGCGGAGGGCTTTCTTTGCCATCCTTACTTTTCAATGTCTTGCCGGCAGGAACGCGTAGGCTCCATTATTAACCTCATGCAAATTTAGCGTTGTGAGCTTAGAGGGCCCAGCTGGTGACGGTCCTGCTTCTGAAGCGAGGGGTTGCGGATACGCTTCTTTCCTTAGCCGGGTGTTTTGCTTTTTTTTTCTTAACCGGCCAAGAAGTCCCTTTAAATACGCTATTTCATCAACGGTCGCCTGACGCTACATCTACGAAGAGTTTGCAAGCAGATCCTCTTAAGTTTGAGCACTACTTGCCTGTGCCTCATGGTGCCCGTAGTGCAGGTGCTAAGCTTTTCCCCTGGCAAGTTGGTACGACATTCGTGTTTCAGGGTCGAACTACTGTGAAAGCTAGTTCAACCATACTTGAAGTTTCGACTCATTTGAGAAAAAGCGGAGCAGCCACTGGATTACCACCTCACATACCAACTCTAGAGTCGACCTATCATGGACGACGGGGAAGCAGGGAAGGGAAGAAGTTGTATTTGAAAAGGGCGCCTTGCAGGTCCTTGGATGGTGCAGAAGGCAAGCCAGGCACTACTTTTGCCTTTTCTAGTGCGTCTGGAAGGTTTATTCCATCCCAATACCAGCCTTTTGCGATGGATTGATGGATAGATCGATGTTCGAGGGACTGAGGCTTAGTTGAGAGTCCAACCAGATCCGTGGACAATGCTAACCAACCTCCACCCGGCGCAAGCTCTCCTTGGGCGCTATCGCATTGTATGGGGATTGTGATGGTAATGCATTTAAAACCGTGTGAAACATTCTTTTGTGGTAAAAGAGGGACTAAGCCTTACGCGAGGGAGGAGAGACTCTAAGATGAGTGAGCCATTTTCATTTTGCTCGCACCTCCTGCTCCCCTCTACGCTTGGTCCTGAGGATGCCCCCTTATGTTGCAATAGCGCCTATCCTTGTTCATCAGTATTCATTTTGGGGGCTAAAAATGTACGTTTCGAACGAGCAGCTTGGAATCGATCTCACTGCCTTTCTCAGCTCAAATCTGATAACCTTTGGAACATGACATCGATTCTTATGTCACTCACTGCAACGAGTTACATAGTGATACTCCACATATTGCTGATAGATAGTGCTTTTGTTGGAATGATGTTCACTCAAAAGATGTTTGAAAGTGGCACGAACTTTTGGGACACCCTAATAGAATTATGAGCGGATCAACCTCTGAAGGTGTCTCACATGGCCAACTATGTTCAAGTGACAAGATTTAACCCTCCAAGGCAGATCTTCTACAAGTCGAAAAACCCAGAGAATTTTTACTTTTGGCTGATCAGGTGGGTTTGGTCTTGATGCCTGAGCCTTGGTAATGTGGCGGCTTTGGCCGCTGCGTCATAAACACAAATAACTGTCGACAGAGTGCAAACCTTTGCACGGCAAGACCAGTTTTTGTGCAGCGATGATTGCGTCGGTAATACGAACCGGAGGAGACGATTTGTCCTTCAATCTCAATAGAATCCTTACAGCTGAATGGAATGCCGAATAACGGACGACGTTGTAAGAGCTGAAGAAGAAAACTTGAGGTTACCAAGGTTATTCAGTGAAAGATGGTCAACAAATATTGGGGTGATAAACGGCCAGCACCTTTGACCTTCTTGTATAAGAACGAGCAGGAAGTCCATTGGCTAATCCTACTGGGTACCACTTCTATGGACAGCGCTGCTGCTGTGGATTGTTTTCGAATTGTTTGTGATGCTTCAACTTACGTCGTCCAAAGCGACATCGGATAGTCCGTTCAGTTGTTCATCGTACTTCTTCGCTTTTTCTCTCGCTTCTTCGAAGAGCGTCACGACTGCAGCATTTATGAGAGAGTTAACCTGGACTCAGAGAATGAGGAGAAATTGAGTTTGACTGAAAGGAATCACAGGAAAAGATGGACACACGATTGATGTCATCGCACCTGTTCGATGCGGTGGATGTAGGCCTCAACGAGTTGGGTTGGACGAAGCTGAAAGTGCTAGTATAAAGACTACAAGGCATGCTCTTCAAGCATAAGCCATATGAATAAAAATAGGTCTGTTTCGCTCAAGATTTTCACAAGAAGGTGTTTTTCTAAAGGCAAAAGCCGTACTCAATGAGGGGGTATTATGGCGATCGAAACTGAGTATGGAGATGCTAAGTGGAACGACAGTGGAGAAAAACTGAGAAAAATCGACGGTTTTTCTCAGTTTTTC